ATTCTACCCAGCATGCTTTATTATTATTTTTTTTGCTCAGTGGTCTGGGCTTTTGGCCCAAATCAAGGCAACAGCTGCTTTAGTAACTGTTGTCCTGCCACCTGGCAATTATTGGCCCGTACCTATAACCATTCCCTACAAAATTACTGAGGTGGTAAGGAAAGCCCATAGAGTTCCAAATTTTAAGAACTTTCTGGGATAAGGGTGTCATTTCCCATTGCCTGAAGAAATGTTTCTGCAGACAGGGTTGGATCTTGACTCTACTATTGGATTTTGAGCAAATTGCTTACCTTCTCTCAATTTCAGTTTCCTCACTTATAAACTGCAGATAATAGTTGAAGGTTTGTTGAGAAATAAATGAGATTGTGTATGTGTATTTATAAGGATCTCACTAGGAAACAGCATACACACTCATACAAGGTGCTAATTAAGGGGTCAGATAGAAGAGCTACTTACAATGACATGGGCATGTTCTTAGGAAAAAATGAAAGGGGATGAAGCAGTGCCCTAGGCAGGCAGTAGGGAGAAAGAGCATTCCTACCGCTGGGCCTGGACAGGCAACAGGAAGGAATGTTTACAAGACCCAGGAGAGTGCTGCCTGGCAGAAGTTGTGGCTTTCATAGAGGAATACAGCCAACCTGCAGTGAGGAGAGTGTTATCAGGTGCCTAGTATATTCCCTGTCACAGAGATAGTATAGTTTACCCTTAAACAACATTGTTTTGAGCTGCACAGGTCCATTTACTTGCATATGTTCTCAGTAAATATATTAGAAAAAGATTTTTGATAGCTGTGATAATTTGAAAAATCTTGCAGATGAACTGCATAGTGAAGAAATATAACAAAATTAAGAAAAAGTTAGATATGCCATGAATACATAAAATCTGTGTACATAGTAGTCTATTTTATATACATACATCTTTTATAAAGACTTAAAATTTATCAAAACTTATCCACACACAGATCATACATGGTGCCATCTGCAGTTGAGAGAAATCAAATGTAAAGATACAGTATTAAGTCATAACTGCATGAAATTTACTGTACCACATACTGTACTATTGCAGTAATTTTGTAGCCACCTCCTGTTGCTATAGCAGAGAGTTCCAGTGTTGTGGGTATCCCACTAAAATGCCAAGTGATGCTAACCATCTCCACATGAGCAGTTCATCACTCCAGTGAACTGTATTTTGTATTAAAAAGTGATCTCTCATGGTTCTTGGCATTTTTCATCGTGTTTAGTGCAATATTGTAAACCTTGTCTAACACCATGGGATCCATATGAAGTGCCACTAGTAGTGGTTGAAGTGTTCCAGAGAAGCAGAGAAAACTCCTGATATTACAAGTTGAATTGCTTGGTATGTGCTGCAAATTCAGGTCTGCAGCTGCAGTTGCCTGCCATTTCAAGATAAATGAATCCAGTATAGGATTTATTTATAATGTAGAACCATTATAATAATAACAACAAAAAAGGGAATTCATGAAGCTGTTACCACAACTACTCCAGGTGTGAAAACCTTGCAAAACTTCTTGCAAAATACCTTTTTATCTGCATTGAAAAATGCAGCTTTTATGTGGGTGCAGGATTGCTATAAGAAAAACATATCTTTATACCCTTAATATGATTTAAGGAAAAGCAAAGTCATTATATGCTATCTTAAAGCAAAAGGAAGGTGAAGGGTCTAAAGCTGAAGAATTTAATGCCAGCAAAGAATGGTTTGATGACTTTAGAAAGAGATGTGACTTAAAACGTGTCAAGATAACAGGAGAAACTGCTTTTGCTAACCAAGAGGCAGCTTGCCAATTCCCAGATGCCATTAACAAAATCATTGAAGAGAAAAGATGCCGAGGAAATTGTCTTATTCTGGGGAAAAAAAAATGCCACAAAGGATATTTGTTAGTACGGATTGTCAAGGGCACGAAAGAGAACCTTGATAGAGGAACATAATGAAAGTCTAGAAGAATTACACCCCTGAAGATGCCATTGTTGCTATAGAAAAAGGCACAAAAGCCATCAAGCCTGAAACAGTAAATCCCTGCCAGAGAAAACTGTGTCTACGTGTTGTGCATGACTTCACAAGGTTTATGGTAGAGCCAATCAAAGAATTCACAGAAGAGATTGTGGATATGATCAAAAAAAGGTGGGGCATAAGGAGTTTTCTGGATATGGATCTTGGAGAAATTCAAGAGCTAACAGACACTACAGCAGAAGAATTAACAGAAGACAACTTGATGGAGATGAGTGCTTCTGAACCAGGGCAGACAGTGAGAAAGACACAGAAGAAACAGAGCCAGAAAACAAATGGACATTAGACAATCTGGAAGAAGGGCTCTGATTATTTAAGATTGCTTTTAATTTCTTTTACAAAACGGAGCCTTCTGTGGTATGGCACTGACCCTACAGCAAACAGTAGAAGAAGGATTGGTACCATATAGAAATATTTTCAGAGAGTTAAAAAAGCAAAAAGTCAGACAGAAATTATAATGTATTTCCATAAAGTTACACTGAGTGTACCTGCCTCCACTTCCTCTTCCACCTTTTCCTCAGCCTCTGCCACCCTCTGAGACAGCAAGAACAACCCGCCCCCTTCCTCCTCCTCCTTCTCAGCCCACTCAACGTGAAGACGAAGAGTATAAAAGACCTTTATAATGATCCACTTTCACTGAGCAAATAGTATATCATCATAATGCAGAAGAGTTACTAAGCCCATCTGTTGTGTATGGTGTGTGTCTTTGGATGAAAATCTAATAACTGTATGAGACATTTTTATGCCATTATCATTGCCTAAGTATTCACTGTGGGCAAGACATATATGGAAGTGTGGAGCCTAGCCTTACATAGGTACAAGGTGAGTGATAATTTATATAAAATTAATAATGTGTTAATTTTTAAATTATTTTATAACTTTGCTTTCAAAGAATTACAATGCTGCATAGTATGCCTGCCCCCCTTCTATGTCTCTCTCTCTCTCTCTTAATTGGAGAAGCTGTGTATCAGCTTATCATTATAGATAAATGATATTTTTGAAAAGTAACAATGTTTCCAATACTGCATATGGATGTGACTGCAATACTGTATGCATAGAAGTTATACAATGATTTATTCATTAGTATACAGGCTAGGCTAACATGAAGCAATCATGTTGCTGCTTTTTTGTTATCAGTGCATGAATCATTATACCTGTGGGTGAATATGGGTTTCTTTATCACATTATATTTTCATTTTTGATGTCTAGTGTTAATAATATGTGTAACATCTACAGTGTTTTATGAAAGACAATATTTATTAAGTACTGACAGCCATAATTCAGCTTGTAAGCAGATGACAAACTTATAATATCAATACATATAGGACAGTACTGTAAATGCATTTTCTCTTCCTTATGCTTTTCTTGATAAAATTTTTCTTTCTCCAGCTTACTTTATTGTAAAAATACAGTATACAATACATATAACATACAAAATATGTGTTAATCAACTGTTTATATTATTGGTAAGGCTTCCAGTCAACATAGGCTACTAGTAGTTAAGTTTTGGGAAGAGTCAAAAGTTGGATACAGGATTCCATTGCAGATCAGACCTTTTTCCCTTCCACACTGCCAGATCTGCTTTTCCTGATCCTGAGGTGGCAGGTCAGTGACTTTTGATCCATTTTAACACTCAAAGGATAATGTTGCTCTTTCAAAACACTGTCTCCAGTGTTCTCGTGACAATGGGTGGTTTTATGGGCAGTTACTTGTCTGACACCTTCCCTCTCTCCCACTGATCTCTAACCAGGTGCTGTTCCCAACATAGGTTAGGAACTATTCCTCTAGTTATAATCCCGGATACAGTTTTCTCCCCAGCATCTTTGTCAGGAAAATTTTAAATAAAACCTGTCTTTGGGGTTTATATGTGTGTGTGTGTGAGTGATTGGGGTTGACTTAAAGGAAAACAAAGTGTATTGGCAAACCATCATTACCACTCCGTAAAACCTACAAAGGATGCAACAGGAGAAAATATTCAGATATCATGTAATTGTGCACCTTTTTAATCTCAGAATTTAAAATACTTAACACCAGCACCATGTGGTTATATCAGTGATCCAAGAAATTAGACCCCCCTAAACCCCACAACTTTTCTAAGAAGACCCCCACTGAAATGGAACCGAGAAAAAGAAAAAATGTCTGGTGTCCTGACTTTAAAGAACTATGAAGTGAAAAAATGAAAGCAATGTCAAAATTAAAATAATTTTCCTTCCTATCGACAGCATGCTTCATCCATTGATGCAGCAAACATTTATTGGCACTCATCGGAGAGCCCCAGCTCCGGCTGCAGAGTATTCCATCTTTGCCACTTAGGAGTTTACTATTCTTGGACAAATTACTTAGCTCTGTGTGGCTCAATTCCCTCATCTATAGAATGGATAGATATATTAGAGTTATCTCACAGGTTTCTCATCAGAATTAAATAAGACAATGCATGTATAGTGCTTAAGAGTATTTGACACCCCATCAATATAATTACTTGTAACCTTGATTTCCTTTCAGCACTGCGGTTAACGTCAAATATCTTTAAAAGGCATTGAAAAATCCTTAAAGTGAAATCATTTGGCTGAATTAAATTCTACCCGAGTGCACCCTATATCTCTAAATCGGGGCGTAGGGAGACCAATAACCAAAGAGTAGTCAGAACTCCAACAGAGATAGGGGCAATCCCTTCCTCCTTTGTAGTCTCCAAGGTGTCTTATGCCTAAAGCCTTGAAAATACATGGGCTCCTCAAATTTAAGTTCGTGGTCATTTTTAAAGACACCCCTCTCTCCCAATTTCCAGTTGTCTCAAAACGCCCCTGCTGCCCCGTTATCACGCCTTTCTCCAGCCCGGCATCCTCTCGTTCGGGTGTGCTACCTTAGGGCCTTTCCCTGACAGCTGCCTCCTAACCCCGGGAGCGGCCCCCGCGCCGGGCCCCTGGGCGGGGACAGGCAGCCCCACTGCGCATGCTCTTCATCGCGCTGGCGGGCTGGGTCGGGGCCTGGGGCGGGCGCTGGGTGTGGGTCGGCGGTGCTGGGGGAGTCTCGGCCTGACGCCCGTCACGCAGAAGCGAGAGAGCGCCCCCAAGGCAGCGGCGTCCTGGAGACCCGAGAGAGATGGAAGCGGCGGCGCCGGCGGCGGTGGAATCGGTGGTGCAGGAGGAGCTAGGTGGGTGCTGCGTGTGGGCCGGGGCGCTGGCGGACGCGGTGCGGGAGTGCGTCGGTGGGATGCTCCGGGCTCCCGGCCTGCTCTTGGCCTTGGCCGGGAAGGCGAGTGCCGGAGCCCCGGCCGCCGCTGACCCTGCCCCACGCGCGTGTCCGGGCCGCATCCGGGTTCAGGTTGCTAGTCCCTGGACCAGGAGAGAAGCCGTTGTTTGTTTGTTTGGCAGGGCTGTAGGTATTGTGGGTCTGGTACGGATTTAAATTTAAAACGCAGCAAGGCAGCCTCCCAGCGACATTTGGGATGAGCTGAGGTTTGCGAGGTGGCAGACTTGGATATCAGGACCTACAAAGGGCGTTAAAATGGGCGTGTGTCTGTGTGTGTGATCAACGAAGAGAAGACTTGAACCTTCGTAGATGTAAGAAAAGAGATTTTATTTCGGCCCATCTGGGAATATTGCCGGAGTGCAGAGTTCCAAGAAGGCTAGATAGTGCTCTAACTTTAGTTAATGAACAAATATTTATATAGGCGGAAGGGAAAAGAAAAATACAGCTCTGCATTAGCAGTTTTAGTTACGTACATTCAAGGATTAACAGTTTTACAACTGGTGGGGAGAATATACAGAAAAGGTCGGGTCACCAAACACCTGTAGTCGGGAGTCAGGGGAAGCAATTATTTTTGCATTTTTATCAGGCTGAAGAAAGAGTAGACACTTCCTTCTATACTAATTTATTGTTTTAGCTGGAACTATACATAGCTAGCCCACGGAAAGCCTTGATTAGGAATTTACTGTGTTCCCTTGGTTCCTGATCCAGTTGGAGGAGCCGCTTAGCTACCGTTTCCTTTCTGTTTGGTGGTGGTGGGGGGTGTTGAAGGTGTGGTGCGCTGTGTGTACACATCAAAGGCAAGCTGGGGAAGGTAAACCATCGATATGGTTTCCTGCTGTCAAAAGGAAAACAAAAGTAAGGATCAGGGTAGTAATATTGTTTCCTCCAGTTATTTGCATTATATTTAGAAATATTTTTAATTTGATGTTAAATGCTTTAAACAGTTGATCTTTGAAGTAATACTTTATTATAGTAACTGATTGGCATTCTTGTAATAATGTGCTGTTCACTTTGATTTAAGTCATACTGTTAGAAATAACGTAGCATTTTATTGAGTGTTTACTGTGGGTCACAGTGTACTAAGTAAGTGCTTTGCGTGCACATTGTCTCGTTTAATCCTCACAATAGTGGGGTGGGGTAGGTGCTACATTATTCCCCTTTCACAGATACAATAATTTAAGCTCATTAATGGCAGAACCCAGATATGAATGCAGGTTTATCTGACTTTTTTTTCTTTTTTCCCTTTTAATTGAATTTATTGAGGTGACACTGGTTAACAAAATTTTACAGGTTTCAGGTGCACAATTCCACAACATTATTTGACTGTTTTAATTCATTGATAACCCATCTAGGTGAGGATGTGGGGAAATGTGCATTCTCATGCGTTGCTGGAAAGAGCAGTATAATATATTCTTAACAAAGCACACATTCTTTGATCCAGCAATTCTACTTCTATAAATATTTCCCAAGGAAATGAGTTGTGTAATAAATACGTACATCAAGAGATGTTCATTACAGCACTTACAGTAGAGAAAAACTGGTAACTAAATGTTCAGTTAAAGAAAATTGTTTAGGTAAATCGTGGTAGGGTAGTGATAGCCATTAAAAGTAATATGGGAAGGTATTCACCAGGTACATTTTTATTAACTGAAAACAAGGTTCTAGATTTTTTAAATTTTGAAAACAGTTATGTTTGTTCATTAATTCAACATGTTTATCGAGCTGCTGCTATGTGCCAGGAACTGTTTTAGGCATGTGGGATACATTCATGAACAAAACAGATCACAACTCCTGCTCTCATGGAGCTTACATTCTATTAACAGGAAGCAGACAATAATCAGTTATATAGTACATTAGGGAGAAAGTGCTATGGGAAAACAGAGGAGCCAAGTAAGGGGAATCAGGAATGAGAGTAGTGGCAGGGTAGTTTATAATATTTTATGAAATGGTCAAGATGGACCTTATTGAAAAGCTGAGATTTGAGCAAAGACTTGGAAGAGGTGAGGCAATTAGTCAAGTGAATATCTGGGGAAAGACCGTTCCAGGCAAAAAGAACACCTAGAGTGAAGGCAGAAATTTGAAGGAGGCCAAGGTAGCTGAAGCAGAAGGATTAAGGTAGTGAGTAAGCCAGGTTATGTAGGATCTTGAAGGTCATGTAAAGACTTTGGCTTTTACTCTGAGAGAGTGGGGAGCCAAGCCAGGGTTTCAGCGGAGGAGTGGTATGATCTGACTTAAATTCTAAAGGGATTGGGCTGGGTGCTGTGTGAATAGACTGTAAGGGGCAAAAGTATAAGCAGAAGGGTATTTCAGTAGTTCAAGAAAAAGATTTTCATGTCGTTCACAGCAGTATGGGAGAGAAATAGCAGGACTCTGGGTATATTTTGAAAGTAGAACCAGAATGATTTTCTAACAGATTGGATGAGAGACAAAGAATTTCGATCAACTGAGATGTTTTAGTGGTTTATAGTATTCTTTGATGTTTTTCCATGAGGAGGAACTTAATTTCTCTCCCTTTGAGTCGTGGACTGAATTTAGTAACTTGCTCCTACAGAATAGATTATGGTAGAAGTGAAAATGTGTGACTTCACAGCTAGGTCCTGATTGGCATTGTGCTTTGCCGTCTGTCTTTTGGATTCACTCACTTGGGCCAGCTACCATGTTGTAAACAACCATAAGGGAGGGTCTGTGTTATATGGAACCGAGGCTTTGTGACAACAGCCATAAATTGTTGCACAGCAGTAGATAACCAGCACAGATGGATAAAGTTACAGGAGGAGCCATTTGGGTGGTGATGAGGAAGTTCTGTTTGGGGAAATGTTGTTTGAGATGTCTGTTAGACAAGAAAGTGCAGATGTCGAGGATGCAATTGGATTATGTCTATAGTGAGTGTGGGGTTCTGGTCTGGAGATACAGACTTGGAAGTCATCAGCATATAAATAGTATGCAAAGCCATGGGACTACATGGGAACCTATGGGAGTATGTTTGTTTATTCTCTAAAGTGTTACCAGCGGTCATTTCTTTGGGGGGAAGTGTGAGGTAATTTCAATTACAAAATGTTGCTTATCTATGTATTTCCTGATTTTCCACAATGACCAAATATTTCATTTAAAAAAGAATTTTAAAAATTATTTTATAAGTAGCTGAATGTGTGCATTTCATTTCATAGGCTGTGGGGGCCTCTGGAAGGTTTCCTGTTGTACATATTTTTTCCACCTCAGAAATGAATAAAATAGTTACTGTTCTCATCTTTTACTGATACCAGTTTATAGATTTAGGTGGCAATATTATATTTTTATTTAAAAAAATTTTTTAGCCCTGGCTGGCGTAGCTCAGTGGATTGAGCGCCGGCTGTGAACCAAAGTGTCGCAGGTTCAATTCCCAGTCAGGGTACATGCCTGGGTTGCAGGCCATGACCCCCAGCAACCGCACATTGATGTTTCTCTCTCTCTCCTTTTCTCCCTCCCTTCCCTCTCCAAAAATAAATAAATAAAATAAAATCAATTTTTATTTATTTTAACATTTTTTATTGTTGCTCAAGTGCAGTTTTCTGCCTTTTCCTCTCCCCTCCCCCCAGCCTTCCCCACCTCCCTCTCCTGTTTCCAGCCCCCCTTGTTACTGTCCATGTGTCCTTCACAATTGTTCCTGCAAACCCTTCACCCTTTTTCCCTGTAATTCCCTCCCCGTACTTTCTTTTAGTTTGTTCATGCCAAAATATAAGTAAATGAGTTCCTGTATTTTGCTGTTATAAAAGTAATGCAAATTTATTACTTTCTTCTTCCATTTTACATTTTTCAGAGAAAGACATTTTAATATGTTTCTTTTCTTTCATTATTACATAACTTTTTAAAACATTATTACATGGATGCCAGGAGACAAGAATGAGCCAGCATTTTGAAATGCTGAAAACAGCCCTGACTGGTGTGGCTCAGTCCTCATTGTCCTTCAAAGCCAATGGTTCGATTCCCAGTCAGGGCACTTGCCTAGGTTGCAGGTTCAGTCCCTGGTCAGGGTGAGTACAAGAGGTTGTTGCCTCTCACATTGATGTTCCTCTTTCTTTCTTCCATCCTGCCCCACTTCTAAATAATAAAAAAAGAAAATAAAACAATTAACTTCCAACCCAGAATTCTGTATTGAGCGAAAGTGGTCTTCAAAAATAAAACAAATGAAAACATTATTGCACCTATACTGTGATTTTTCAACTTTTTCCCATTCAGCTTGTGATATACTTTTTCCTGTTTTACTCAGACTTCAAAACCATAATTTAATGTCATTGCAATACTTTATAAAGTGGGTGCCCTGTGTAGTTAATGTAGCAATTTCCTGATTGTTGCACATTTAGGTTGTTTCCAAATTTTTAACATAAATAATGTTTCAATTAATGTCTTTATGCAGAAATTTTTTTTCTCCATATACTAGCTTGTTGGAAGTAGAATTACTAAGTGCAAAGAATAAATATTTTTAAGGTTCTAATACATATTGCTAAATTAATGTGATTTTTGTTTCTTTTGATTAAAATTGGAAATTTAGGTTGATTGTAGGTTAGGAAATTGAGGTTGAAATAATTGTCTGAGCAATATAAGATGGCATTGAAGCACGGCCTGATTTAAGAATGTTCTGATTGTATGCATCATTAATTTAAACATGTGCGTATAATGTATAATATTGACTGAAGCAGTGTTTATTTGTAAGTTTTCCATTTGTAAATGTAAATAATTAGGTCTAGGTAGTTTGATGTTCATTGCTTTATAGTGTTTTATTTTATAAAGATTATTAATTTTTATCTATAGTAATCACATGGCATTTTTCAGAATTTCTCAATTCTTTCAGCACTTGGCCAAAAATTACAGCAAGGCATTAGAAAATAATATAGACTTTATATATAATATAAATTGGATTTTGTA